CAAAACAAAAACAAGATACAAGATTTTCTTGATAACTAAATAATGTAGTTTTCTTCTCATTTCGCTAGTCATACCTAAGAATTTACACTATTTACCCGTTTATCTATCTTTAGAACAAAAACACGTCGCGTGTAATATTTATTTACAGCCGCCATCTACTATAAAACATACAAATCACGCTTCATATAAATGTTTGTTTACGTTTATTAGGCACAAGAAGAATTTAAATAATTAACAAAAAAATGTCTTGCCAATCAACCATTCCTTTAAAATCAAATAGTAATAATTAACTGTGTTAAATAACGAATTCTGTAACATGTAGGAAATAAAAAGCATCGCGTTCATCCAGTTTACAGATCGTAAACCTTTGAGGTATTCTCGTCACTTCCCGCTGAATCCACAATAAATTCTGAAACCCTCCAGGAAAAAATTGGCTCATTCTTCAACAAACCTGTAATAACCCTCCTAAACGGACTCGTAACACACTAGGTTATAAACGAAGAATAGCGCGGAATAAACGACCCTCTTTTGTCATCAGCTACCAACTCAAATCTAAAAAGAACTACGCTTTAGATCAATGGTTTTTCTACCCGGTTGCTTGGAGTTTAGTTTATCTTAACACGGGACTTAAAAGACCGAAGTATGTCGAAGTTTTAAACCACTTTGCAAGAATAACTGACGTTTCGGGTTAGCCTTAGAATAAGTATTTTATACATATCGCGTTCGATTATGATATGTATGCTATTGTAATCAACAAAGTGACAATAGATTTAATGTAATGTCTTTCCTTTTACATTTCTATAAACGCTTGCTTCTGGCTTTCTAAGATCATTTATCGCGTTCGATTATGATATGTATGCTATTGTAATCAACAAAGTGACAATAGATTTAATGTAATGTCTTTCCTTTTACATTTCTATAAACGCTTGCTTCTGGCTTTCTAAGATCATTTATCGCGTTCGATTATGATATGTATGCTATTGTAATCAACAAAGTGACAATAGATTTAATGTAATGTCTTTCCTTTTACATTTCTATAAA